ACGGACGTCGGACGGATCGTTCTCGGCTGGCAACGGCACTGAAGCGCCATCTGCTTCAGTCGTTGGTGGAGCAGCAGCAACAAACGCTGCGACAGCTGGTGTTCCTCGGGTTGTAGCAGGGGTATAAATCCCACCACGTGGCGGTTGCCACTCGTCGACAGCAGGTGGCTGTCGTCGTCGGGGAGATCTGAACGGGTTCTCAACAGTGCGCCGAGCGGCGCGTCCTCGCGGCTCCTCGATCCGGTCACGCGACCGCGATCGTTCTTCGGCGTTCGTTGGCGTTTCCTCGTCGTAGGAATGTTCTCGTACCATCTCCAGTGAATAGCTCAACAATCAACTAAAGATATCTTTGTTTTGTCTCCCGCTTCTTCTTGGCTTTCGGCCACGGGACCTTCGTCAAGGTAGCAAGTATACACACTGACACTAGAGAGGTTAAACACGCTACGAGGCGCCTACTGACTACCATTCACTAAAGTACTCAGTACCTCGACTAAGGTATCGGAACCTTTGGCACGCCACACACACAGAGTGTGTGTGTTTGCAATGGGTCAAACTAACGCGCGACCCAGTTGCTCTGCACGCTGCAGAACAGGACTTCACTTTTCCGAAGGGACATGTCGTGTTCATTGCGGTTGACTTCTTCGGTAACTTGTGCCATGCCGCGAGGTCCGATCATTCGACCATTCGTCCAAGATGTTTAGAACAAAAGAATAGTAGAAGGTCCATAGTGGACTAACAAGTAGAACTTCAGTTTTCATTTACACGATTACCTACCAGCTTGTGCCTGTAGCAAATATACCGTAGATACGACTACACATCCCACCGATATGTGATCTCAAACGAGTGTCCCGCCGTAACAGCTCTTGCTGCCATCAATCACTACAGGAGCCCCAGCTGTTGCGGCGGGGCGCTGGTTTGGGGGGTTCTCGTTTTAGGCGCATGCGCCTCTGGCGCATTGTCCGGTTAAATTGTATCCGGCAATCCTCCTAATTTCGGGATCAAATGTAGGATTATTGAATATAACGGACATTTAGTTTTTATGGAGTATCATCGTCGAACTTAAACGGCAACTCATCCGGATATCGCAGATTATACGGATGAATGGTTAAATGGTCAGCGCACACTTAAAACAAAATGGACGAGACGAGCAGCAATGATCACCCCGAGGGAGATCACACACCTAGCGAAATGCCCGGTGCTGACGAATCCGGCAATGAACCAGCGACGGTTGGTATCCCATCCCAGGCACCAGCATTCGGCGACTTGCTCGGTATCCATCACAGATTCAATGACGCCAACGAGTTCGTAACTTGCGTGCAGGCGTGGGCACGTGCCCGAGGCTTCACAGTGTCGCGGACGGGAAAGAACTTTTCGGAGAAAAACCCCCACCCTGTTCACGGTGGACGAGGTGCTATCATGTGGCGATCCACCCTTTACTGCACGCACAAGGACCAGGCTTGTAGTGGCCGGTCGACGTGCACGTGGCATATCAAGTTCAGTTTTGACAAGGCCAATCTGAACTATTCCATCACTTCCATAGGTAAGTCGTCTAAGTATAGTGTAACTGCAATCTAATGATGTATTGTATTCTAATCTATGTATAGTAGTCTAATGTATTGTACCTTAGCTCAAATCTATGTACAGTAATCTAATGTGTTGTACCTTAACTTCGTATTGTAATCAAATCAATATACTTTTGGTTGGGTACAATAAATTTACATTCAGTAACCTAATTTATGCATTTACGTTCAGGGTTGGGGCATAACCACAGTATCACAGGAATGCATGTAATTGGACATGGCGTGCAACTGTTGACGCTGGAGAAGCAATTAGAGCCTGACGAAATCGACCGTGTTGTCGGCCTGGGCCGATTCAACTTGCCCGTCTCCAAAGTCCGGGAAATCATGGACGCGTTGTATCCAGAACGGATGTTTTGTCCCAGTTTGCTATCTCGGTTAAAGGACAGAGGACGGGTCCTACACCTTGGTCCGGAAGTGGACAGCATGGGCCGCTTCTTTGAAATGGGTTATGGTATGAAAGCCACCGGCGGCGTGTTCCACGTCAACCTAACGTCAGAATTGCAGTTAAATAGTGTCGTCATGCAGGTATCATATATTTTTCATGTGACTATTTTTCATGCATATATTATACTAATTCTTCCTCAATATAGCAACCTGGAATGATCAAGTATGCAACGTCGTACTCCGACTTTGTACTGTGCGACGGGACACACAATGTGTCGATGTACGTCCTGAAGTTGATGCCATTTACTGTTGTCGACTGCCTTGGACGAAATGCACTCTGCGGGGTGGCACTCGACGAGTCTGAAAACACCGAGGTATGTAGTGCACGTATGGTGATGGATATTAAGGAATTACTACATGTAGACTGTGAAACTGGGGCTCGAGTTGTGTAAGTTGCACGAAGCTAACGCAACCCTCATGACGGATGGTGGCAGTGCATATCCTGGTAATATATATTAATTGCTATATTTGTGCACCTAACACTTGTTGTCGTGTGTGGGGGTTATTATTACTATTAGGGGTTGCACTGGATTTGGGCATGATTCACATCTTGTGCACAAAGCACTTTGTGGATGTAATCCTCAAAGGTAGCACAGGGCTTAGTGGGTTGGCGAAGGCGGAGGGCAACGCGCTTGTATATGCCACGATGTCCAAAGTTGAGTTCCAAACTCGCTTTGACAGGGCGAAAACGATATACGGCGAGTACAAGGAGGCGGACAAGGCATTATGCAGTATATATCACCACAAAGAGAAGGTCTGCCGCGCTTTCACAGGTACAGTACAACTATGTCTATTTTCAAATGGTTCAATAATCCTCCATAACTCATGTCTAGGCAACGTCGTCACATGCAGCAGCCTGGTGACACAACGAGGCGAAAGCATGAACTCTGTCATCAAGGAAAACGGTAAGGTTCTAATGTTGTAATATTTCAATGTGGCGTAGGGCTAAAGAAGAAAGAATTACGTCGTTTTAATCTCCTCCAGTTGGCCGAGCATTTATGGGGTATTTTTCAACGACAAGAAATCAAGGCGTGCGATGAATTAGTAACGCTATTGACTGCGAAGCGGCGTTGGTCAAATTACGTCGACAGCATATGGCCAGCAAACATTCTTCAAGCGGAGTTGTTGCCGCATGTGGTTCAAGTTGCCGGGAAGTGGTATGTGTCGGCTTCGCAGTTCCACGACGTGGCAGACGCAGCGCATCGGATCATCCTTGGCGAGGACGGTGGGCACCCAACTTGTGATTGCTTTGCTTCTAAAAGAAGCAAGATTCCTTGTGCTGGAATTTGTCAGGTCAGACTAATAATAATTATAATATGGAAGACTAACATTAAATAAATATGCAGGTGTTTTGTCGTATTGACGCTCCGTTGTTGTGCCCGCGCAACCTGCATCCTCGATGGCATCTTCAAAGCCATCCAATGTATACAAATGCATTACGCCGACTAAACATTGAAGACCCTGAGGCCTCAGCGACAGCTTCCTTGCCAATTGTGTCCTCAAGCTCCCCAGTTATTGCTCGTGGCATCCCCAAGAAAGTCTACGAAAATGTGAAAGTGCCAGCGACAACAGGTGAACGAATTATGAAAATTCGTAACATTTGTACTCGAGTAGAAAATGCGGTAGCCAACACTCCCCACACATATCGACTGTGTATGGTGAATATGACGAACTTGGCTCGAAGGCCTCAAACAGGGTCGCTACGCTGGAACTTTAGCACCATTTACGATGCCGCAGCTTGGGCCAACACAAGTTGCGAGTGTCGGTCATGTCAATAACATCTGAGCTGCAGCAAGCGCCGCTGAGGGAGTTGCTCCGCCAAGAAAGTCGTCGGAACGGAATCAATTCCAACGAGAACAAGTCGATCTTGTCCCATCGAACGGCCCATCCGGGAAAGCGCAAGCGTGTATCCTTGACTCCACGTAGTGCGACGGTTGAAGCAAAGTCATCAGTGGGAGCATCAGTGTCCTCTCGTGGCCGGTTGCAAGTAGCCAAGCAGTTCGATAACTTTGTTGTGTAAAGGGAAATCTAGAGTTATGAAGTTGTTGGTAGTTTTCTGAAGTTTTCAATAGTTTTCTGAAGTTCCGAAATTTTCTGTAGTTTTCGGAAGTTTCCGAAGTTTTTTGTAGTTTTCGGAAGTTTGCAGAAGGTTGCTGTAGTTTCGGAAGTTTTCTAAAGTTTTCCGTTTTCCGTTGTTTTCTGAAGTTTTTTAAAGTTTGCTGAAGTGTTCTGAAGTTTTCTGAAGATGTCCTAAGTCTTTTTGAAGTAGCTGAAGTATTCTGAAGTTATTTGTTGTATGCTCGATGGAGTTTATTAAAGTTTGACCATGTTTTCTGAGGCCAAAGCACAGTAGTAATGAGTAGTAATGAGGTGTCAGTATTTCAGCTCAAGATACTAGCTACTACAATACTATACATGACCCAAGCTTCGCAAAAGCTTTGTCACTTTGTCATTTTTGGCACGCGTTGTTGGCTTCAAAACTTCTCTTTCAGTTGCAACGGCGGTCTGGGTTGACTCGGCTTGAGTGGGAACTGGTGGCAGAGACAGACCGCGTTGTTTGCATAAACTTCCAAGCATTCGAATGATGATTTCGGAGTAAAAGGAGACTGGCAGACTAACCAGTCGCTCCAAATGCGCATCGAAATCGTCATCGCCATCAACGTCGCCATCACCTAACACATTGTATGAGCTACTGTACGCTGAAATAAGATACCGTTCTGGTTGGTGGTTATTTCGGAAGGTTCGGACTTTTCGTCAATGTAACATGGCAAGTTAACATCCTCGCGCTCCTCAAAGTATTGACGCGGTAGCAGCGGGTTTTTTGCACCGTCCCATTCAATGGCTTGGGAATGGGTGTCGTTTCTGTGCTTGATAGGGTGCTTAATGATGTTGTCTTTGCGATAATTGACATTCGACTGCCCACAGAGCATGCATGTCCGTGCCTCTCGGTTGTAATCCCGCTTACGCTTGGCATCCTTCATCCCCGCTGCCACACGATTGAGGAATTCTGCTTTGCCTAGTTTTGATATTTGTAATTCCCCAAATAGTCCCGAAATTAGGATGATTGCCGGATACAATTTAACCGGACAATGCGCCAGAGGCGCATGCGCCTAAATCGAGAACCCCCTGGTTTGAGATGCACACTGTCCCGAAGTATAATTGCGATTACTGCGGGACACTGGATTGGCGCGAGGATGCGTCGATGGCATGTGGGGTGGTACACTAGGCATTTCCTTGTGTTTGACGGCGTCTGCGCCGTATAGTAACCAAGGTCTTGCGACGGTGGCTGCAGTGTTGTATGGTGAGGCGAAGCCTAGTTGAGTACCGCAGGACACACGCCGTAAGCGTGATGGTCGCCACCACACGCTGCAGGTACCAGTGGTGGTTACGCCAGTCTCTGGCATTACGGAGTTCCTTGGCGTCGTTCTCGGTGGCATATGTCCTGTGGTGAGACCCGGTCGCTCACCAAAGGGCTTAAATCACCGAGAACGACGTCAAGGAACTCCGTAACGTCAGCAATACCTATTGCGGTGTGGGGAGTAGTCGGGACTATAGTGGGTATCGCAGTGAGGCCTGAAAGACGCCGAACGCTGCAGATGCTGTTGTACTGTACATACATATCCATGATGTGTGTCTGGGGCGTAAAAATAAATCAGATATATACAACCGGAATTTAACTCGGGACCTTATTGTTGAAAGACCAACACTTTACCGCTTGAGCTACGGCGATTGATACATTTTTGTGGGGTTAATGAAACAGATTGTGTACAATTTGAGTTCCTCATTATCCAAATTGAACGGTAATGGTTATGAACGGTGTTGGTAATGGACGTGAGGCATGTCCATATCACCTCCTTTAATGGTCATTGCACTCCATGTTCATTATCACTTGGGCTACATGGATTCGACAAGCAACTTCGCATGCCCTTGCCGTGCTTCCCATCGTGACCTACTCGTATAGGTTTTGAGTAAAATATCGAATTTTTTTAATTTTTTGTCAAAAATGAAATTGTGGGTAGTTTTTGAGTTATGTCGAATAAACCTATGAATATCATGCTCAAAATCTCAAATTGTATGGATGACTCACGTTTTTGTCACGTCACAGGGCTGCTCTGAACTTGAAGTGTCTCGTCGAGACTATCGCACCATCATTTCCTTAATTTTCTGTTTTACTCATCAAATTGTGTCCGTTCACCCCAAATACCACTGTATCCACAGCTGGTTGTCTCAGAATTACCACCAAATGACACACATTTAGTGGGTTAGTCTGATTTTCCGTATTTCCTTCGCGTTTTTCCGCTTTCGAGTCCGATTTTGGCAGGTTACCGTCAAGTCGGGGATTACACACAACGGTACGTTGCCTCTTACAACATGTAAATGATGCTGAGTTTGCGTTAATGCTATCACTTGCAGAATGCATAGATCATTCACATCGCCCGACGACAGCCGAAGTCGGGGATGCGAGCATGCTTCGATTTCCCATGTGTCCTGCATGTTGAAGTACATGAATTTCCACAATGTCCTCAGTCCGTTTTGCAGCTTTACAGTTAGTACTAGGTGAGCCCGTTGCTCTGCCGCCGGTGATAATTATCGGTTGGAGCAAGATATGTCGTTGTCGTTGCTACTTATTGTCGTCGTAGTTGAGCCTGGCATAGTTTTCAGACATTTTCTATTTCTATTATGCGTTTTCAAAACTCTCCTATCTGCGGTACAACGGGGTCCAGTATTTTGCGAGAAAATGGGATCAGCCTTTTTGCGGTGAAATCCACTGAAAGTAGTATTGGCTGCGGTAGAAACCTTGCAGCTATGCTAAGACTAAGCCGTGCATCTAAACTCACCAACACGCTGTGATCTTTGACGCGTGGCGTGTTGACTTGAAAGCAGTTAGCTCAACCTCTCAGGAACATCCAATAGCGATGCCGTTTGACCCGCGACGTATTTGTCAGAATGCATGTCGGTGCCAACTTGCCGGTATGTCCAATCGCATCGCTTATTATCTTGTGACATGTTGGTCAGAACACAGTCGGCGCCATCTCGAGGTCACTCCAATAGCTCCGCAGATTGACTCGTGATATGTTGGTCAGAGTACAGTCGACCCATCTTGCAGGGACGACCGCTGTGTTGGATGTGGTGAACAGTACTTCTGTATACACTTTGGAAGGAGTTCGTCATTCAAGTAGCAGTGTTATCGAACTATCGCCGTGTTGTGTGGCATCACATGCGGAAAATCAATGCTGTAGAAACTTGATGTGCAGGATGATTTGCTTTGTTGAATACAGCAAGGGTTTCGGACCTGTACATATTTGAGTTGAACAACATGTCCTTCCGGGGACACTTCATGTGAAGGGCAATGTGCTTCAGGAAACAGTAGGTTTTCCCACCTACGCTGCAGTGAAAAAATAATGCATACAATTTTTGGGGTCAAATGTTGGGTAGGTATTGAAAATAGCTTGGGTTTCCTACATTTGCTATGATGTTGATGATACAATAGGGGAAATACGTCATGGTACGTATGATGAAGAATAGTTTATTTGCTTCAAAAAGCAGGTTGTGCTCGTGACAGTCATGTGAATCGATGTGTGCACGATATTTAGAAAGAATGAAATCCGTGATATGGCCGTCCCGCACTAACACAGAGAATTCCAGCCTTGGTTTTGGCTCCCTCGAGACAGTGCAACATACAGTTGTCCGTGAGAGATCACCGGGCTAGGAAAGATAAGTCCCACGCGACTTAAGCTTTGGCCCTGACACTTGTTGATGGTCATAGCAAATGCCAGCTTCACTGGAAACTGGCACCGCTTCAACTTGAAAGGGAGGTTGGATTGGCTGCCCTCGTCGACCAAAGTGATGCGCGGTACGAAGACTCGCATTTTGTCAAATGCGCCGCCCATGATAGAAGCCTCAATGCACTTGGTTGACACTTGGACGACCAGCGATTTCATCCCATTGCGTAGGCCCAAACGTTCTTGGGCAGTGACTTACGTTCTCCGCAACTCCACCAATTCCATACTGCCTAATGTAGGACAATAGAAGTCGGCTGACCACGTCGGGGTCATCCTTGGTTTCTTCCTCCGAATCGATTGGATAAGCCAACTGAATGCGTTGCAACAACTCGCGGCGGGCTTCGCTCCACCCATCGGGTAGATATTGCTCACCGTCTGCAGTATTGTTTGGTAACTGCCACACTGTCCTGGTGATCTTGGGCGTTGCATTTAACCCCTTTGTCGGCCATCGTTACTGACTTCGCCTGGGTGGCGCCTTTTTGTTGGCATTTTCTTTGGTCGACACTTTACTGCGTTGCATAGTCGCATCGCATTCGCCCGTGCCACTCGGCTCCATCGGGGTAGCTTCCATCACATTCACGTTTTCTCGCTGGCTTGGCCGTGGCCTTAGCTTTCAATTGGTTCTTGCCTAATCAAACGAAATAAGTGCCAGAATAGACCTTTGTCATTTGATTTCAATTACCGATTAACAGCATGTCAATCAGCATGCTGTTAGTGGTAGTTTGATACACATCCTAAAATAGGATTTACTTCACACCCCAGACGGTAATCCTTACGCCCCTCCCTGGGCTTGCAAGGCTGTCACATGATTATCCGACCAAGCATACCACGGACGCAGATTCAAGTTATATGCAGAACGACACAAGCATCCCATTATATAATGGAAAACCTCTCTACCTGAAAAGGAGTTTTCCGCAGGTAGGTCAAAGGAAAAAAATCACTTATCGTTTCTCACTACGAAAATTCCACCTGGCTATTTCAACCGAAGTCGGGGGAATAGTTGTATACTGTAAAACGCCAGTTTAGTACAGTACTGTAGTTCTGTGGAAACCGTAGAGAGCAACTTATTGTAGGGGTAGGCACGGTGTGCAACAGCCTCCCCGTGTGTGCTGCAGTGCGTTTCGTAAGTCCGTCACTTTGGACCCACTCACATTGCTATATTACCCTAACACCGAGAATAACATGCATGGACATGAACACCGAGCAGAACATGTATGACATGAACGTACCTTGCATC